TTATACCAGAGCCTTCCTATGTACAAAGGATCCAGTCAATCTGATAGTGTCAGGAAGTCTTGACATCAATCATTTGTTTTAAAGGCAGACATACAACAACCATGACTATAAGCCAGTGGTAGGATACTTTGATTTGGCCAAAAGTGAAAAAGTTTGCTTTTGTAAAACTTTCTCATGGACAAAATCTATCATTCCACGAGGAGAAATCACTTCCAGAATACTAGTGATCCTCAGGAGAAAGAAACACACCAAGGCATATGCGACAGACACTTTTTTGAAGAAAAGTTCTGGGAAATGGGAATGAGACAGGAGAATCCAGGAGCCAATAGCTTTGGATCTTATGGACACGTTGGAGAGGAAAATGTGAACACGGAGCAGAAGGCAGCTCCCATGCTCTGCTCCTGCTGCCTGGTGAAGTCGAGGGCTTTGGCCTTGGTGGTGTCATCTCAGCATCACTGGAGGAGGCGCAGATCATATGCAAGGAGGGATGAGAACTGAGAGAAGTATTTGGACACATGAGGAATGGGTGGAGCTGAGGGCTGTGCTATGAAAGAGAGAGAGAGAGACAGGGCTAAGGAGCCTTGTCCTTTGTCCCTGGAGATTTAACCTCAAGAGCTGAGGGGGGATACATATTTACACTGGTCTTCTGTTTCCTTGACTTGAACAGTCTTAGGATCAGGTCAAAAGACTCGCAGCATATTTCTCAAGTACCAGTGGTCAGAGAGAAAGAAATCCTTGTACATCCAAGCACCCACTGACACGCATTAAAGTTCAGACTTTGGGAGGCAGTGCTAGATCTGTTCAGGTATTTTTAAGGAAGAACCACATTTAGACGATACCTCATTTCACATGTTTGACATTCTCCCTTAGGAAAGAAAGGGGACCTTGTTCCACTCGATTTCCGAGGGATCTCAGGGTGGTCTGTCTATGTCTTAAAATAGCTTGCCTGCTGTGCCCCCAGTGAGGTTGGAAGTAGATAAGCAAGGAGGTGTAGTTTCATGTTTCACTTCACACTTTTCAGGCCTTAGCGTGGGTCCAAGCAGAAAGGTCACCAGAATACCATTATCTCAGTTGAATCCCAGAAGTTTAAAAGTTTTTGCAAAGGAACTGCAATTGACTCATTCAACTAATCATTTCCAAAAAGCAAAAGGAGAAAGCTCAGAGGCACCAGCCCAAGATGCCCCCAGGGCCAGTGCCCAGAGCCGGCCCTGCAGGCATAGCCAGATGATGAAGTCAGGGCTCCTAAAGCAGGTCCTTGTCATCACACTGGCAACTGCAGGGACAATATCCAGCACTCCACTCTCCAGCTGCTCCCGGCCAGCCTTGCACTGTGGGAGACTGGAGCAGAGGCCCAGGGTCCCAGCACTGGTGATAGACTTGCTTGCTCCAGAGCATGGCAGATAAGGTGACCTTTGTCTCTCTCCTCTTGAGCCAGGCTTGAACCAGGAAGGAGTGGGAATAATTGCCCTCGTTTCCAGCCATGCTTCTGCTGCTTTGGGGAAGCTCTATCTGGTCTTTATTTTCCCATAATGAGCCTCTCAAGTCAAACCAGTTTTTCTGACTCTGGAGTTCTGCTGACCTTTGCAAAGCTGACCACAGTAAACTGCATCCTGGGTGGTCTTTTTAGTTTTGATAATGTTAAACCAGAGACCAACAGATGGTCCTAACAAAAACAACAACAAAAATAACAGCAGCTAGAAATGATTGAACACATACCCATCAGGGACTGGGCTCAAAACTTCACCTATTTTATCTTTGAACCCCAGAGCAGCAGTTGCTATTATTAGTATTCATATTCCCATTCTATAAATGGGAAGACTGAGGTTCTGAGAGATGAAATAAGTTACCAACAGTCACACTACCACTGACACAGTAGAACCAAAGGGGAGAAAGGCCAGGGGTGTCTGGAAGTCTTTATGGACCATCCGGAATAACTACACCAATCATCAGGGTTTCCTCCACTGTTGGGGTTCTTGTTATCAACAAGAACTAAACAGTGAGTGTCGGGTGGGCCCCTGTCCTTTTCCTACTTTTCTGCCCTGGCAGTGGCCCATCAAAACCACTCCTAATCCTGAAAGAGTGGGGGTTGTCCAGGCCCCTGTTTAGGGGCAGCCCTAAGCAGCCCTCAGTACACCTGTCAGCAGAGTCTGCCCTGCAACATCATGCTTTCTAATGCTCCACGGGGGTTGTATTTGGGGCCCTGATGCCCACCTTTTTTGTGCATTTGGTTGCATGTGCTCATGCCTTCCTCACTGCACTGATCCAATTTAGGGACCCCCTTTGAAAGGTTGATGCCAGTTGATAAAGAGGACTCCTGAGACTACATCTCTTCTGGGATTGGTTCTTAGCATAATTCTCTCCCCTGGATGGGAGAACTTCTTCCTCACCCTACCACCCCAATCCTGCAAATTGCAGCCCTGTCCTCTGTTTTTCACTCTCCCCATCACTATCATGACTCTCCTTGTGCTTTCTGCTACCCTGTCCATGGAGAACTGTTGTTCAGGCTCCATTCAATCCCATCTGCTCCAGGAGGCCTGAATAGCTCACTCCCTTCTCTGTCTATCCACCTCCAACACTCCTGGGGCATCCACTCCTTGACAGACTCTCTGAGATTCCTGAGAGTATCCAAAGGAGACACAGTAAAAAGCCTCCTTCTCGTGCTTTCATCTCTTGTGTTTGCCATGGCTTATCTGATAAGGCTTCATCCTATCTCTGCTTTTAAAGTCCAAAGGCTGCCAAGGAATGGAACTGATTATAATTCCATTTTATACTTACCCCTTAGATTCAGCTGGAGATTAGTCCCAGGACCCCCTACCCCCATGGATACCTATACCATAGACACTCAAGTCCTTTTTTAAAAAGTTGTGCCGTATTTTCATACCTCATACATCTGTTCCATTGTTGTAAACATCGTTCTCTTAGACCTTTCCACAGCATTCTAGGATCTCAGCCAGGTGGTCAGCGGTGGCCAGGTGTCAGAGTAGAAGGACTGCGCTGATTTACTGTGGGTAACTTCAGGTTTTCCATGCCCTTCCAGCTCTTTCCTGAGATATTTTCTTTCTTTTCTCCTCACTATCACAATGTTTCCAGGGTACAAAAGGAAGAGAGATCCTGTTCTCAAAGAAAACTTCAGCATTTGTCAAATAGACAAGAAAATCTCTTTGTTCTAACGAAGAGATTCATAATCTGAAATATGAGCAGATATCAGGCACAATTGTGAGAAAATGTTGATACTTATTTAAGTTTTTTTATATAAATAGATGTTCCTATCCTCCAGATTTATCTATTTTTTTAGATTATTTTACAATCAAAAAATGTGCAAGGATGAATTGACAATATTAGGCTTCCTTTAGTACGGTGCAATATTGGGCAAGTATTCTTTATAAATAAATAAGGAAGATCTCCGTTCTCACATGACAGAGTAGAAAAAAAGTAGTCCTGTCCTATCCTTTCCTTCCTTTTCCTTTTCTTTCCATGGTGCTAGCAATTAAACCCAGGGCTTCACTCATGCTCTACCCATGAGCTAAGCCCTGAACTGTACTGTCCATTCCATCCTATCAGTATGGAATGCTTTTTAAATGTGATTGTGTATATCTTGCTATACACATGGAGTTAAATCTAGAAGAAACTGCACATTTTCACAGAAGGCACAGTATGTACCTCAAGCTTTTGTGTGCTGCGAATGTTTCTGGCAACATAATTAGTTTCCTAATCATAGCAGAGCAATCGAGACTTTTCTGAAGGACCTGTGGAGCCAAAGGCCGGTGTCCAGGCCCCTCCAGGTTAGTGGGCTGCCCAGGGGACCAATGGCTGTATTTCCACATGCCCTGTCCTTGCCTGCCTCTTTCCTGATTGGCCACAAGGGTCCATGACAGATGCCAGCAGTGGCGGTGATGACAGGCCCAGGGCCACATTTGTTCCGTTACCTCCAGCTCCTCATTGACTTCCCCGTCACCATAGCAAGAGCTCCTTTCTCTTATCAGCACCAAGCAAAGAGTCAAAAGTTCTTGTGAGTGTGACTGTTGAGCACAGGGCTGGAAAACTTCCTTTCAAAGAGCAGCGCTTAGAATTGGATCAGGAGAGCTCAGTGTGTGCTGTGCAGCTGGACAATAAAGCAAAGCAAAGTTGGCAGTGCAAAGTGTAAGGGACACAAAGTGATGTCACAATGGCCCCATCTGATCTGATAACCTCTGTCCCCAAGACAGTCCATCTGCCTCCCTAGAAAAACTATGCAGGGAACTGAGGAAGAGTTTCTGTGTGGGAGCTGTGAAGGACTTGTGAAACAGAAACAAACTCATGAGGAATAAAGAGAAAAATCTAAATAATCAGAAAGAAGAATCAGTGTGAAGTTTCTGAGACACATTTATAGCTCTTATAAACAGGCTTTTGTTGACTGGCTCTTTGGGACACTAGTGACATTCGCTACATCTGATGTTCAGGAATTTAAACTTGGTAGCTGGCTGGGCTTATGATTATTACCAAAGCTAAACATTTTGCACTGTGTGCCCTGCTTTATGTTTGAAGATGACGAAAGTGGCATGTTGTCAACACAGTTCTGTCATCTACAGACCTGAGGGATGGCAGTCATTCTCCTCTGTCCTCTGTGAGCAACCTCACACCCTTTGCGCTCTCTCTCTCTCTCTCTCTCTCTCTCTCTCTCTCTCTCTCTCTCTCTCTCTCTCTCTCTCTCCTTTACCTTCTCCAATTTGGTTTCAAAAAGGTGTGGGCTACCATAGAAAATGGGGAGAAATGCAGGTGCCCACAGTAAAGGTTCACAAAAGATGATCAGCCTTCAATACATCCCTGCCAAACAGACACTCCTCTTAAAAACAAGTTTTCATATGGGGAACCTCAATTTAAAATACTTCTGCCCTCCTACCTATACTGAAATCTGGGGAGAGAAATGCGTGCTCCTCCCAAGGATTATGCAGACAGGCATCTCACAGGCAGCCTTCCAACCCCTTCACCACTGATGCGAGTCTCTGGTTTTCCTCCCCAAGGCAACCAGGTGAGTTTCTCCAAGTCCACGGATGCCTTTGCCTTTGAAGAGGACAGCAGCAGCGATGGGCTCTCCCCAGATCAGGCACGAAACGAAGACCCCCACAGCTCAGTGGGGTCCCCGCCAGATGCTAAAGCCACCGAAGCCTCTGCAGCAGGCTCTCTGGGGACAGTCCAGGTACAAAAAAGGCTCAGCTTTGCCATCTTTTCATAGTATTACAATTAACACTGCTACTATTGGTTTTGCTCAAGAAAACCCAGAATTTGTTCTCTCTCTGTCTCTGTCTCTCTGCTTCTCTGTCTCTGTCTCTCTCTGTCTCTGTCTCTTTCTCTATCTATCTCTCTCTATCTCTCTCTCCCCCATTCTGTTTTACTTTCTGTCCTCTGTACTAGAGATCCAACCTAGGGCCTTCATACTAAGCTGTACTCCAGTCTTCTTTCTTTTATAATTTTGAAACAAGTTGGACTTGAACTAAACTTGTGATCCTGCTGTCTCCTCCGAGAGAGTTGAGATCAGAGCTGTCTCTTGATGACACATAGCTTAACATCTTTTTCTTACTCTGTTCAGCCACAGAATCTGTGTGTCATAACAAAAACCTCCAGAAAACACAGAAAGAGAACTCTCAGAACTATGCCCTTTGATTTATCTTTTGAGTATCAAGTCTGCCAAGTAGATGCCTTTTATGTCCATTTTTTATGGACAGGGTAACTGAGGCTCCATGAGATTGGTTAATTCACCACCCATGTCCTGTGTTGACATGCTGCAACAGGACTAATTTCAAGGTCCACAGTTTTCCCTCCACTGAGGAATCATTCTAAGGCTTTCAGGTGATAGGGAGAAGGAAGTGCTGACTGCACAAAGCAGGGTGTCCAGGCCATAACAGGCTCCTAACTATCAACCCACTACAAAATCAGTGTCCACCCCCATCCAAGCATAGCTGCCACCTCTTTCTGAACAAATCCACAAATCTTCAATGTGTATTTAAATGTACACTTATAATGCATATTGAATATAAATCGGAAAATATACTGAATACACTCCTACAGCACATTTACAAGGAGCCCTGATTAGCATAAACAACAGCACTACCATGACACTCATTCCTGCCCAGGGATGGTGCAAGCATTTACAAGTATCTTCTTATTCGATATCACAGTCCCCTCTAGGTCAGTGTCATCCCTGTCCATTCTGACGAAGGAGAAATTAAAGCTCCATGAGGTTGAGCAACTGAGTGATTTTCAGGGTCATAGCAGAATGGCAGCAGTAGCTAGAGAATCAAGTTCTAGGAGTTGTACGCAGACTTGACGAGACTTTTCCTCAGCCCCTAAAAGAACATATTTTGGGGAACACAACCTTCCATGAGAGGATGGAAAGTCTATAGTGGACGTAAGATGTGCAAATGCTTCCTACCCTGTTTCTGCCACATCCCAGCTCTGAGAGGGCCCTCCAGGCTATCTCCTTCCTTTTCAGTAGTTTACTAGACTTTCTCCAACATGCTTGGCCAGAAGCGTTTCTAATTTGGGATTTTTTTTAGCTTTTAGAATGCTTGCCTGTATACATAATGAGGCACTTTGTGATGGGACCCAAGTCTAAACACAAAGTTCATCAATATCTTATATAGTTTATACACATAGCCTGAAGGCAATTCTATAGATTATTTTTTTTTGATAATTTTACACAAAAGTTTCAATGTATAGAACGTTATCCTTGGAGTGTCATTTGGATAGCCTCAGAAAGTTTCAGATATTAGAGCATCTCAGATGTTGGGATTTTGCATTAAGGATCCCCAGGGTACGTTTAATTCCCCCCTCAAAACAAAACACCAGACAGATATCAGGGCCGATTATAACATCATTATCCAGAGCCCTGTTTCCCAAAACCAGGCTAGTCACTGGCCACTGTCATTCCTACCTTCACTTTATCAGAAGGAACTTAAAGCTGCCAGGAAAAGGCTGTGGAATGGAAGGGGAGACAAAAGAGGCATTTGTTGTGCAAGAGTTTAAAATCAAAGCATTTTTCCTTCCACTGCATGCCGCAGCTGGTCTTTGCAGCCAACTTCTTTGATAACATCAAACAGTCTATCAGAACATTTGCACATATTATTCTGACAGTAAATTCTTCAGCTTCTGATGTTAAAATGGTTTAAAGAGACAATGAGTTCTTGTCTGCTTAATGCTACGAGAAGGGGAGAAGGGAGCAAACACCAAACAATGCTGGGAAAAATGCAAAAATCATTCTACGTCCTCTCATTTGCAACACTGTTTGACAGATGAGGACACTGAGATTCTACCAGAAAAGAAGCCCGCAGGCCTGTGACAGGTGCCAGAGCCCGGGGAAAACCTGGGAATCTCAGGCCCGAGCTCCACGGGGAGAGCCTGCACAGCCCCTGCCTCCACTGTCGGACTCACAGCACAAGAATGTGGGAGAGGAGGGAAAGGTCGTCATGCCTTGTTTGGAGTCTTCAACGGGCAGAAATGACCCACTTGTAAAGGTTGTCTTGGCCTTTACACACCACACAAACACACACAGACACACAGAGACATATACACAAATACACCATACATATACACACATACACACATATGCTTACACACACACACACAAATGCACTTGTTTATGCATCCACACATACATACATATTCAGACATATACTCCTACTAGAGTACATACAAATACACTCACCTACACATGTAGCCCACATTCATGGAGATGTATACATATACATGCATAATACATAGATGTTTATGAATATACCCAATACACATAGAGATATGCACACACATGCAAATATATCCAACTAGAACATCATATTTCTAAATTGAAGACAATATACAATGTGACAGTTGTTGAATTCCTATCATTTTGTTTAGTGAGATTCTGTATCCTAATTTTTTTACTATTTTTGTATTCTCTGTTAAAAACAAAAAAATTAAATCACAAAAGAAGATCATACTCATTTCTATGACACAGATGCCAAAGGCCAGCACGTGCATGTATGCAAAGACACGTAAGTGTGCACACATACACACATGAACATGTGTACACACACATACAGACATCCACATTTGCAAATGTACATATACATGATCACGTGCATACATGCACCCATACACAGTCATACATATTCCTACACAGGTGTGTATCCATACATACACATATGCGCACGCACACACACACACACACACACACACACACTCTCCCTCCAATTACTATCATGGTTTTCCTCCACTTATTATTCTAGCTTTCTAGTTTTTTCCCTAAAAGTCCTATATCCATTCTTCCCTTTTTCTTTCTTTCCCAGCCTCATTAAGTCCAGCAGGTGTACCTTGTCACAGACAAGGTACACCTCCAAATAGCTGACACAAGATGTCCCAGAACCGACCAGTCTTACACCATTCGCAATAATTAAGAATAAAGAAACATTAAAAATGAAAATTTAAAAAAGAATAAAAAGTTAGGTGGTGCATGCCCGTAAGTGCAGCTATTTGGGAGGTAGAGACAGGAAGACAGGAGGATCCTTGAGTTCAAGGCCGTCCTAGGCAACTAACAGTTTACAAGACCTTGTCGCAAATATTTTTTTAAAAAGTTAAAAAATAAAAAGAAGCTAGGGATGTAGCTCAGCTATCAGTATTATAAAATAAAAAGAACACCTCCTATTTGGATAAAAAAAAATCCTCAATTAGATGACAAATTTAGTGTTATCCTCCTGGAAAGAGTAGACTGATGTTTATTTACACAGGTAGGAAGCTGGGATGCCAGGGTCAAAGCCATGTGTAGGGGATTCTACCTTAGTATCTCTGTGCCCACAGGTTTAATTCCTACATCATAATAATGATAAGCTTTGGGTTTCAGGATCTTTCTTCTGGCTCAGAAAATGACAAGAATGACTCAGCCTCCCAGCCCAGCCACCAGTCAGATGCAGGGAAGCAGGGCCTCGGCCCCCTCAACGCCTCTCTCCCTGTGCATGCTGCTGTGAAGGTATGGATGAACTGGGCTCAGACTCCTGCCTGGGCCCCTGGCCCAAGATCCAGCTTGAAGCAGTGCATTCTCAGCCAGGCCTGACCATGTGAGGGGTCACAGGAACCCGCATGTAGGTTCATTTCCTATAGAGATGTCCTGAAGTGAGAGCTGAGGAATGGATGGACCATCTGTAGGTATGAGGTAGAGTCCTGGTGATCCGAACAGCATGGCATGGATCTTCTGTGCAGCAGGGAAGCCTGTGTATTGAGTTGTAGTTCTTTGGGACCACAGCTCAGCCAGCTTGTTCTTGACCCAGAGTTCATGAGCTTGCCTTTGAGATAGACAGAGCTGAGTGTAATGCATGCAGAAAGCACAAGTGTTGGAAGACAGGTATAGGGCAACTGAATTTTATGCACTAACAACAGTCCCAAAGACTTTGCATAATATCAAAGCCATATCCCTCAAGCCAGACTTCCTAAGGAAAGAGGGTTTCTGTTCCCAATAGACAAATAGCTATAATCATTTTAATATATTGCTCATTTCATTTTCCCAGCCTTACATCTAAAATTCAGAGATAATTCTCTCCTCAACCAGCCTTTGGCAGTCATTTGGCCTTCTTCACATTTTATACTACATAAACTGTACTTGGGAGTATATTTTCTTAGCTCTAGTGGTATCACTTAGTGCGGGGTATACTGACACTAGGGGATTTTTTGAAAAAGAAAAAGAAGGCTATAATTACAGTAGGAGTCAATGATAAAGTAACAGTTTTATGTTCTGAATGGATAATGAACATTTCAGTTTCCCAATAAAGTTCTCCCACCAAACCACAATACTGTAAACTCAGCTTATAATTCACTCAGCTCAGCAGCTTTGAAATTATGGGACTATTGATGACTTTCATGTACTGCAGGGCAAGAGGAAGAACTGACTCACTGTATTTCTAATGCTGTATATAAGAGAGATTTTATTAGCATTTCTAGCAGAGTTTAAATTTTACATGATTCCAATTAGCAAAGTCGTCTGCCTCCCTGCTAGTGAGTAAGGTGTGACAAGAACCCACAGGGAGGACAGAGTGGCATTAATACCACCCGCCAGTGGGCCCAGGAGAATTCTCGATGATCAATGCTGAGCATCCTTTTTGTTAAAGACTCATCACTTTAGGTAAAGAAGATACTAGAGGGCTTGTCCAAGAAAGGGGCAGCTCAGCTAGAATAAGGCATCTGTAACCTCTTGACCTGAAAAGATCATGTGAGACCAGTGAGAAAGTACATGCAGTAACTCTGCTCTCAAGCTATAAAATGTCCATGTCAGAGAAAGTGCTCCTACAGTCTCAGAGGGTTCTCTTAATGTTGAATAAAGGATGACTCCTACCCTGAAGGAGACTGCTGTCTCCTCGGTTGGCTTAACAGGGCCCAACCGAACCCCAATGGTGCCTTTTCTATGTCAGAAAGACAGGCCCCAAAGGACTTGAGAGATGCTTCTCCTGGAAGGTATGAATTTCCAACTAGCAAACGAAAGTTTCTCAACGTTAGTCATTAACGAAATGAAAGTTAAAGCTATAGTGAAATGCCATTTCAGCGCATTAAGATAACTTTCATAAGAGAAGTGGAAAACAGTGAGTGTTGATGAAGATGTAGAGAAATTAGAATTCTCATACACTGTTGCTGAAACTGTAAAATGCTAGATCTGCTGAGTAAAACAGTTCACTAGTTCCTCAGTAAAGGAAAACAGGATTTACTACCTGAGCTAGCTATCCCCCTCCTAGCCATGTGTCCTCAGAGAATTGCAAGTAAGTGTTAAAACAAAAAGCAATACCTGGACATCATAGGGCTCTCTACAGCAGCCATAAGCTGGTGCCAACTCAATGTCCATCAGGCAATGCATTATAAATAACACGTGGGATAGCCACATCACTGAATATTACTTGGTCATAAAAGGGAAGAGAATATTAATAACTGCAGCCCTACAAATGAAACTTGAAAATACTATGCTGAGCACAAGAAGCCAGACTCAGAAGGCTACATATTGTCTGATTCCACTTAAATATAATATCCAGAATAAGCAGCTATATCAAGGCTGAAAGCGTATTCGTGGTTGTCAGGGTCCAGAGCAGGGGGAATGGAGATGGACTGCTTCATGGGTAAAGATGCTTTTGGAAGTGAGGAATATGTTCTGGACCATTTCAGGTAGAGGTGGACTGTAGAAGAACTTGGATTTTACTACAATCAAAAGGAGGCTCTTCCCCAGGCCTCCATGCCCCACATCAGGGTCTGTGGTCCTGGCAGAAAGATGGGGGAGGGGGCTCTCAGGCTCCCTTATGCCTTTGCCAGGACAGACAAGGATGTTGTGTCCGTTCTCTAGCAGTCTCCGAATGCCACGTGGGGTGTGGGGCTGGGCACATCACTGTGAGTTAGAAAATGAGCTGGGACTTGAGTTGCCCTGGGAGGATGCACCCAAGTCAGACAGCCGGTGGAGGAGGGAGCTTGGTAGATGGCAGATAATCACAAGGAAAAGAGGTAGGATAGGAGAGGCTCTGGCAGCTGGGAGACCTGTACTCCCTGGCAATCTGCAAGGGTTGGGCTTCATCTTGCAGGGCAGGAGCAGCACACGGATTGCAGGCTGCTGGGGTGGTGTTATTTGGAAAGCCGTGTGTGTGTGTCTGTGTGTGTGTGTTGTGTGTGTCTATGCACGTGTCTCTCTGTGTGTATGATAGGCTTGAATCAGTGCTGCTTTAGAGTCATACTTTCTAGCTAAGAGCCACACAACTGTCTTTTGCTTTACAGGGACCCAGTTCACACAGCTGTGCCCAGCTCTAAACTCTGTCGTGGGTTCATCTCCACTCATCTTTAGAAAGATAAAAAATGTTCTCCAACTATTGGCTGTGCCACTGCAAAGACAAAACCAAACACACACAGCCTTAGCATCCCCTAAATGAAAACTGGAATGAAACTATAAGTTCACTAATCTTTGTCACACACTATCCAAAGAAAGTGATCTGATTTCCGTACATTCTGGAAGGCTCGCGATCCCCCAAGTTAAGGCAACGACGCAGCACAGACAACTCCCCGAGCTCTGACTTGGCTCATAGCTCACGGCTGCGGCTTCTCTCCTCCGCAGACAAGGCAAACCCTGGGATGAGGGGGAAGGGCAACTGAACTGGAGCCAGACAGGGCCCAGCGGCTGTGGGGGATGGGAGGGTGAGGGTAGGGGTCCGTGTACCGAAGGCTGGTTCATCGGTGGAAGGCTTATCCATGAATGAGGAGGAAAAATAAAGCCACCGAACAAACAGAAATACCTCTACTCGTTATTCACTAGTTTCTGGGAAGATGACTCTTTGAGATTCAACAAAGCACCCTTCCATGGTGAGATACGCTGAGTCAGACAAGCGCCAGTTGTAGGCTCCTTAGATAAGGTTACATTCAAAAGTGTAGGTCTAGGGTTGAAACAGGGAGGCGGCCAAGTCCCAGCCCGCCGGCCGGCTATCCAGGCGCACCCTCTCCTGGACATTGCTGGTACCACACGGTTCCTCCAATTTTTCTTCTCGTCTCTATAATCTTCGGTCATGATGCCCATGTTGTCCATTACAACCTCCTATGAGAATTTCAGGATTTAAAATTTTATTTGGGGGCCGGGGAGATAGCTCAGTAGAATAAGCGCTTGCCTGGCAAGCTCAAGAGCCTGAGTTCAATCCCCAGTTCCGAAAAAAAAAAAAATTTATTTGACTGAAGAGTATATGTACCCACTGGTACCTACTGTTTCCTAATATTATTGAGGCCTTTTGACTTCAGGAACAAGTTGTGGATAGTTATCCTGTTTACTGAGTGCCTGCTATTATTTTAATGTTATCTGTCATAATCTTTATGTCAATCACTATGGTAGAAATAGGTAATACTTCCCCCAACACCTAGGTGATGGGATCAAGATGTAGTACACTTAAGAAATTGTACTTCATTCAACAATTTATCTCAACTTCGAGGCCCCTAACCCTTGACTTCCTTTATTGTGCCCAAATCATGCTTCACAGTGGCTAACGCTGGGGAAGCGGGGAAGCGTTCCAGGGGACACCTAATTCTCCCTATAAGAAGTTAAGAATCATTACATCAATGAATGTCCCTTACTGAGCAGATGCTAGTATTTGGCAGGCTCAGGGGCCTGTTGGGGCAGGTCCTTTCACTACTAACATAAAACAACAAAGAACCACATTCTGCATTTTAAAAGATAACGATAGGGCCGGCCAAATAGTTCAGCAGATTAAAGCGCCTGTTTAGGCAGATGCAGGGGCCAGTGGTTCGATGCCCTGCCTGCCTTGCTGTCCTGCCCACTCTCCCACCACCACCCCAGGCCCACTGAGATGGTGTTTGAGACTGGGCTTGGTGGCGCTGGCCTGTAATCCCAGCTCTTTGGGAGGGTGAACACAGGCGGATAACTATGTGTCTGATCTATATAGTGAGACCCTGTAGACCCTTACTAAAAAAATACAAAAAAAAAAAAAAAAAAGATAATGACAACTTCTTGTTATGTTTTTAATAAGACTGTTTATTAGCAACTTAAAGGTGATTGCATGTATGCACAGGAAAGAACTATTTTAGAAGCATTTCCAAATTGGAATGCAAGGCTAGCTGTTGATTTTAGTCTAGGATGACACATTCATTGAAAATCACTTACATCTTACTCTAGGAAGGAAGAACTCTAGGAGCAACTTCTAAGGTTTACACTTCCCAGGCTAGGGAGTGTCCTTCCAGGCTGATGCCTTTGCAGGTTTGCTCTTCTAATGCATCAGTGCAGTTATTTTGTGCATCTGGCCTTTGCTCTGTTTTATGTCTGGGGTTCCAGAATGTCCATTAGAAAAAGCCTCACTGTACCATGATGCCATCATTGTCATCTTCCACCTAAAACGCATGCCCTTTCCTCTTCCTCTCCACAGTCCAAGTCCATGGGTGACAGTAAGAACCGCCACAAGAAACCCAAGGACCCCAAGCCAAAAGTAAAGAAGCTCAAGTATCACCAGTACATCCCTCCAGACCAGAAGGCGGAGAAGTCCCCGCCGCCCATGGACTCAGCCTATGCCCGGCTGCTCCAGCAGCAGCAGCTCTTCCTGCAGCTCCAGATCCTCAGCCAGCAGCAGCAGCACCGGTTCAGCTACCCAGGGCTGCACCAAGCCCAGCTCAAGTGAGTCAGGAGAATGGGGTGGTGGGCAAGGCAGAGCTGGGGGCTGGCTTCTGCCTGGCTGGAGCTCCTGGGCCAGCACCTGGGGACCCAGCAGGCCTGTACATCACGTTTCATGCAGTATGTTTGGAATATGCCTATTTGGAAACCATACATCCCTTTTCAAGACCTCCAGCTTGTGGAACATCTAAGAACACAACACAAGCACTACGCACAGTTCCAATACAATTCTTCTTTGGGAAGCAACAGAGATGCATTGCTGAGTGACAGAAAGTTTTTGACTCATTTGTTTGCATCTTCTTTAATTTTTATTTTGTTAGTACATGCTTGTAGCACATAATGGGTACATTCATCCTGGGAGTGGGTATAAGGATGTAACACCTCTGAATGCCTTTTGCATCCCCCCCTCCCCACCTTAAGGTAGGCAGTATCCTCACTCTGAAGTCAGCATGGTGGTTCACTCAGCTGCCTCTGGCCACCCATGGGTCCTGCTGACAACGATGATGGATGCTGGACATACTCTTGCTTCATAATCTTGCTCAGTGCCCCCAGGTCCAGAACAGTGCATCATTCAATTTCAGATGGAAGTGTACCCTCTTCAGCCAAAGCCCCCAGCACTCCTCCCTATCTCCCCAAAACAAACCCTTCGGGTTTCTGCTGCTTGCTAGTTAGCCTGTGCCATTGCTTCTCCTCACTCTGCAGTCTTCTGTTGGTTTGCCACACCTTTTAGCCTCGCAGGAAGTGACTCTGTGATCAGATCCAGCTCAGATCCAAAGGCAAGGTGCCCCCCACATAGCCAATTGTACTGTAAGTGTCTGTGTCTTTTAGAGAACCAAATGAACAGATGGCCAGAAATCTGAACTCTTCCTCAACACCACTGAGCAACAGCCCTCTGTCCCCTGTCAAGAGCAGTTTTCCTGGACAAACTGGTGTCTCTTCTCTCAAGCCAGGCCCACTTCCACCCAACCTGGATGACCTCAAGGTACAAGATTTGACATGGTTTTCACTTCTTCTTAACAGATGCAACAATATGTTTTTTATTAGTATCTTTGCCATCTGATTTCTTGAATTTTTTAAAAAATCAGGAATGAAAAAACAATATGGGGCCGGGGAGATGGCTCAGTAGGATAAGTGCTTGATTGGCAAATGCAAGGATCTGAGTTCAATCCCTGGTTCTGCAAAAAAAAAAAAAAAAAAAAGAAAGAAAAAGAAAAAACAGTATGGGAGAGTCTTAAGGCAGTAACAGAATTGAGGCTGCTGTGGCCAGCCACCCATGGAGGACAGAACTGCAGGTCCCTAGCTCAGCTCTCCTGGACTGTGACTCCTAGAGTCAGGCAGTCTTCACATGTCATAGCATCTTAGCTTTCTCGTTTGCACAAATGGATAGCTCTAATAGTCAAATACAATTGTATGTATGGTAGACACAAAGTGTTAATGCACAGTTTATAAAAGCCCCCAAACGCTGTAAAGCAGTGGTCAATACCATTTGGATATTTTACTCTGGCAAAATGAGAAAAGGAAGAACCACGTAAAGTGTTTTCTGTACACTTTAGTACATTCCATGATTTAGCATTCATTGGAAGTGTACATTTCTTCACAGGCCTTTGAACTGTGAGTTATTCTATTAGAAATCTATAAAAGTAGTAGAAGACTATTTAGTTTTTGGTAGGGTTATATTTGTTCCCTGGTATTAAATAATGATCCTAGGCCTTGATGAACAAAATAAAATGTTGGTAAGTCAATGTTCCTAATGTAATTTAGCTTCACTTTGTGTTCTATTAAATTCTCAAATCTGAGAACTTCTGTCCTAAAGCAGCACCTTTTAAAATGCTACATGCATTCCAGGAACTTATGCCAAATCATAGAGCACATGGGTCTGTGTTTCAAAATGGTGCTGAACTTTGGAGTTGAACCTGGTGTGTTTCAAAGCAATCCTTAGGACCAAAATACTCATCTGTCTATCCAATACTCAGAGCAGAACTGAAAAACACAAATGTGACTTCCCCAGTGGGTGACTAAAATTCAATTCCCACTCCATTCTCAGTGTTCACACTCATTAACCTGGTTTCCACCCCACCTATCACTCTCCACAAGTTGTCTTATAATTTTCTCCAAAACTACATCCCTCAAGTCCTTATACCTTCATTATGCCACACATATGGTCCTTCCTCCTTCTCATCTCTCGTAGCCACTGACATCATATTCCTAGATAGGAGAATGGAGATAGGAGTTAGGTTATTGCAGATTAAAGGAGAATCCATGGCTGCAGTGTGTTAACACTAGTCAAAATGTATCACAGATCCTGATATCAAAAGTTCTTCTATTATTTCTCCTAGAATTAAAAATGCTTAGTTTTCATTAAGTTTGTTTCTACTTAGCATTCATATACACACCCAGAAAAAGATGCCAAATTTGTGACTATAACCTATGGAGTTGTGTGTCATCCACCCTTCACTTTCCAAAGCCTAAATCCATAAGGGAAAAAGAAGCACTATGCTAAGTGAAATAAACCCCACTCAGAGGGACAATACCAAATGCACCCACCTAGAAGAGGCACCAGGAATAGGCAAATTTACAGAGACTGGAAGTAGAACAGAAATTACTAGGAGAGGAGGGCAGAAAGGGCCAAGGGGAGTCAGAGTTTAATGGTTATAGGGTTTTAGGTGGAGATGATGACAGAGCTCTGGGGATGGAGGGTGGTGGCATTGCATAGCCATGTGGATGTACTTAATGCCATTGAGCAGCACACTCAAATGCTTAAGAGGTCAATTTAATGTTGGGTTTATTTTACCACAATAAACAAGTTTAAGCTAGACTATCTCTGAAGGGAAGCCCTGAGCCAGGTAGGACTGGAGAGGGCTTCCCCCCAGAAAAAGCATGGTCCAGATATGGGTCTAAGCGAAGCTGCTGAGCTGGTGAGAATTGTAATAAGTGGGGTAGGCCAAGGAGATGGAGGTGAGACGATAGTTACTACATATTGAGCATACACAACAAGTTAACCATTCTATATAAATATGTACCCACAAGGGCAGTTTTGTCATCCTGATTCTTAAAATGAAACTAAAAATCAGAATCTTAAAGAGGTTAAATAACACACCAGTTAAAGAGCTTATAAATGGCAGAGGTGAAGCTTGAACATGGGGGCTGATTGCAAGTCCTTGACATTGTCCTGAGAGATAAGAGGGAGAAGGGGAAGAGAGAGACATGCAGGCTCATGGACCAGGAGTCTCCTGAGTTCCCAGAGAGTCACCAAGGACAGAGAGGGAGGTTAGAAGAAGCAGATGTGAAGGTAGGACAAGTACACACTGTTCACTGCTGCTGAGTGGCAGGTAATGGCAGGACAACTGGGAGAAAAGGCTCAGTCCAGCTGATTTCTAAAATCGTGAGTGACTAAAACATCACTGAATGTATGACATAGATGTATATAAGTTGCCACTATATAATATTCTAAAATTTAAGGCAAATTGAACTCAACAAGTACGCATTTTATTTTAGAATATGACCTGCATTATTTAATAATGTAACTTAAATTATTCAGTGCTAGAACATATTCTAAAAATAAATGTAGAACTCATTAATTTTAAGTAATTCAAAATTAAGACAATAATGAGTTGTCATCTTGTGCTTTTTGAAATCATCAAATCTTAAAAAGAAATACCAGAAGACTATGGAGGAAATGCATCTTTATTTCTAGTGTAAGTTGATACGATCTTTCTCTGATAGCCTTTAGCTTATTATAAAAATAACATATTCACAGTTGAAAATATGATACTGTATAATAAAGTACATATGTCAAAAGACAAGAGTCACACTAAGTATAGCCGATTATGCTTCTTTCTAGATTTAAAATGCATGCAAACATATATTGTTTCATAATAACTATTCTTAAATAATTATATGGCTATAAATTTCTGACATGCCTTCTTTAACACATCATGAACATTTTCATAACTTTTAATATTTAATAAAGGTTTTATTTTTAATAGCAGCATATCACCCCACCGCCTTGTTAACATTCCACTGTTGGACATGTAACTAGCTGCCAAAGTTTTATTAGGCAAAATATGACTTCAGTGACCTTTGTACATACATTTATTAATCTCTCTCATTATTTCTCCTTGCTAACTGCAGAGGAATGAGATTCCTGAGCTAAAATATGTTAACATTTTGAAAGTTCTTGATGCTTTTTACTAGACTTCTGTCCACAAACTTGTTTCTGTCTGTTCCCAGAGGCAGCATACCCAGGCAGCACTCCTTAAAGGTTAATCCGCAGTGGGTCTCCTAGGCCTATCCTAGAATACAGATTCCCATTCTGCAGCTCTGGGGTCCAGACAAAGAAGAGGCTACATTTCCAACTGGCTCTGAGATATTGGTCACATGCCTGGTCTGAAGACCATACATTGAGTAGGATGGTATAGTAAAGACCTCTCTTTTCAACATTTGTAGTTATTTTTGCTGCTACTTCACTAACACAAAGGGTAATTACTCATTTTTTTGACAATTTGATGAAAATAAATATATATACGTGTTTATTTTATTTGCATCTCTTGAATCACTAATGATATATGTACATTATGGACCACTATATTTTTTGTTTTTATTTTTATTTTATTTTTTTTTTTGGCAGAACTGGGGATTGAACTCAGGCCCTTGCACTTGCCAGGAAAGTGCTTATTCTACTAAGCCATTTTTCCAGCACCTATATATTTTTTTTTTTTTTATGGAAAGCGAGGATTGTACCTTTTACCTATTTTTATACAGTCAATTTTTTTATTATTTTATTTGTTTTTTATTATTAAGCACATTTAATGCACTGGACTTTTTTTTTAATTTTTTATTTGTGAGAGAGAGAGAGAGAGAGAGAGAGAGAGAGAGAGAGAGAGAGTGGTGTGTGTGTGTGGCCAGCTCAGCCCACCAGGGGGCGGGGCTGGCTGGCATGTGGTGCTGGGGGATCGAACCACGGTCCCTGATGCCTTGCCAAGCTTGTTCCAAGTAGGTGCTTTAGACCACTGAGCCATCTCTCCAGCCCCTCAGGGTTTCTTGACTTAGAGGAGTTTTAAATTTTTGTTGTCAATATTTTTATTACTATTTCATTTGCTTTTATACTCAGAAGATCTTTTAAAAGCTGAAAATATTTCCCTAAATATTCATCTTTTTTTTTTTTTTTTTGGCAGAACCAGGGTTTGAACTCAGGCCCTTGCACTTGCCAGGGAAGCACTTATTCCATTGAGCCATCTCCCCGGACCCTATTCTTCTGTTTTATATAATTATTAATGTTTAGCTATTTAGTGCATTTCCTGTTTCAATAACAAAAGCAATATCTTTATATGGAATGTTTAGAAAGTACAAGTCATGAAAATCATTAACACCTTAGCATATATTTGTCCAGATTTTCCATATGCAAACATAGGTTTAAATATATATGCATATTATTTGTCTGACTTGTTTAAAAACAGAATCAATCAAACTTTCTTTCATTTAGTATTATACCGTAAGCAATTATTCATTATCCAGTGTCAACAATTATTTAATAGATCTATACTAGCCCATCATTCCATGCTCTGTCATTTACTTGACCAGTTCTCACATTAATATACATTAATTTCATAATTTGTGATTTACAAACATTATGAAACATAGAGATGAGCTAACTACTCCTGAGTCAATATAATCATAAATTTAAAAAATAATAATGAGCTCATACATTGTGCAAACATTTTCCAGGCTCCACACTAAGTGCTTTACAAATTTTAAACCATTGACACAGAACCAAGCAGGTAGGTACTGTTAACCCTATTTCACAGAACAGGCACAGAGAACCACTTAAAATAGTAATAGGTGGGGCCAGGGTGTGGACCAAAGATCTTATCACCACATTCTCTCTCAATTTATGACTGTCTTTCAGCCAGTTGTTAAAAGTAAGACACAAATTTGAGTGTGGAGCTGAGACTTTCAATCTGGTCTAGGGACCAGCACCATTCCACCTCCCCCACCAGGTCTTGTTAGGAATTCAGCTCTCTAGCCCCTCCCCAGCCAGCCCTGCTGATGCTCAGGCCAGGGCGGGGCCTGGAGTGTGTGCTGCCCCAGCCCTCAGATGCATGCCCAGGTTTAAGAAAGAGAGCCCAGTGGGGAGAAGCTCCACCCTGGAACCTGAAACCTGACAAGTCTCCACTGTGCTTGGAGACTAGTGGTGGAGGGCTCAGGTCCAAAGTCAGGCAGAGACCAGTTTTCTCATCTGTAAATGGAAGCTGGGACCAAGATGGGGGTGGAGGACAGTAGAAAAGGACACTTCTATCTTTCATTTGGCATTTTAGGACCCTAAGGCCACGAGTGTGGAGTGCAGACATCTCCCTTACAATCGTTACACTCCTGGGCTTTATCTTTATAAGGGTAAAGAAGTGAGAGGCATTCAGCAGAAATTACATTTCAGATTTTGAATTTTGATCGGCTCCTGGGCTGGCCGCATGCGGTCTGACCCCCTCCCCGAATGCCAGGCAGCAGCTGTGCTTGCAGCTCCCAGCCAGCCCCACGCTCTTGAGAGCAGAGCGAGGCTCTCCAGTCTCCTTCCTGCTGAGTTAGGATGCCAGAGAGCCTCGGTACATTAAATGGTTTTCCAACTCAGCGTTGATGCTGACACACTGCCCCACAGTAAGTCAAGGAGCATCTGTGTGTGATAAAAGTAAAAGCGAGTTGTTAAAATTGTGCAAAGCTGGTTCAAGGTTAAAAGAAGAAACTGAAAACAAGTAAAACTAGAGAAATGGGTGCTGTAAACTTTCATGAACGATGTTTTCAAGCTAATTTAATAATAAATACATGTATAAAAACATTGTCATTTAATACACACTCACAACATCCTGGTTCCTTTAGGTCTCTGAATTAAGACAACAGCTTCGAATACGGGGCTTGCCCGTGTCGGGCACCAAAACAGCACTCATGGACCGGCTTCGACCCTTCCAGGACTGTTCTGGCAACCCTGTGGCCAACTTTGGGGACATCACTACCGTCACTTTTCCTGTTACTCCCAACACTCTGCCCAGTTACCAGTCTCCCCCTTCCACCAGTGCCTTGTCCAACGGCTTGTACCACTTCGGCAGCACCAGCTCCAGCCCGCCCATCTCGCCTGCCTCGTCTGATCTGTCAGCGGCCGGGTCTTTGCCTGACACCTTCAACGAGGCGTCCCCGTCCTTCGGCCTGCACCCGTCCCCGGTGCACGCTTGCACCGAGGAGAGTCACGTGAGCAGCCTGAATGGGGGCTCTGGTCCTCCTGAGCTCGATGGGCTGGACTCTGAGAAGGATAAGATGCTGGTGGAGAAGCAGAAGGTGATCAATGAACTCACCTGGAAACTGCAGCAAGAGCAGCGGCAGGTGGAAGAGCTGAGGATGCAACTGCAGAGGCAGAAGAGCAGTCACTGTGCCGAGACAAAGCCGCTGCCCTTCTTGGCCGCCCCCATTAAGCAGGAAGACGCCATCTCCAGCTGCCCTTTCACCTCCTCTCAGATTCACACCAAAGGACAAAGCCACAGCGCTGAGAGTCAACCGCAGGCCTGTGATGCTGCTCACCTCCTGCCCCTGGGCAACACGCACTGTGTGGAGTCCTCAGGTCAAACCAATGTCATTTCTTCCACTTTTCTCAGCCCCCAGTGCTCCCCCCAGCACTCGCCACTCGGAGCTGTGAAGAGCCCACAACACATCAGTTTGCCGCCCTCGCCCAACAGCCATTACTTCCTGCCCTCATCCTCCGGGGCTCAGGGAGAGGGACACAAGGTGTCCTCACCCAGCAGCCAGGTGTGTGCCACACAGGTAAGAACTAGGCCCTGCACATCCTTCTTAAGGCGCAGGGAGATAGACTACCCAGCCCTCACAGAGCTGATGTTAGAACGTGCAAACTTGTTCTAAAAAGGGCCAACAGGTAAATATTTGGGGCTTTATAAGTCCTACGGCTTGTGTTGCAACTATTCAGCCTTGCCCTTGCAACAAATAAGCAACCATAGACATCTGATAAATGAATTTGTGGTTCCAACAAAACTTTATTTGTAAGATCAGGCAAAGAGCAAAACTGAGCTTGTGAGCCATGGCTTGTGGACCACTGCTTTCAGGACTCCTTGATATTAAATCACTGTATCAAGAAACCCAAAGAGGAAGTCACCAGACCTTATTCTTCTCTCTATACAATAGTATTTACTGGGCTGGGAAGATAGCTCAGCAGTCTAAGAGCCTGCCTGGTAAGCAAAAGGACCTAGGTTCGATCCCCAGCACTGCATGCTGAGCTGCCAAGCCAGTCACAGAAACTAGGCATGGTGGTGCACACCTATAATTCCAGCACTGGGGAGGCTGAGAAAGGAGCATCACTACAAGTTTGAGCTGCATAGTAATACCCTATACCAGATAAATTAACAAATTAATTAATTTTTAAAAGATAAAATAGTATTTACTAAGCACCTATTATGCATCATTCTCTGACCCAACAAGAATCAGTGCTGAACTAACCAAATACAAATTTCTCTTCCCTTGGGAAGACAGACAGTAAGCAATATTTTAATGCTAAATTAATATAATGTGTTAGACAATGATGCATTTTATGAAAAAAACAGAAAAGGGGCTGTATTTGTGGGTGAAAATTACAACTTCAAACACTGAAAGACCAAGGGCATTTATTTGAACAAACCCTTAAAAGAGACAAAAGAGAAAAATCTTGTGATATTTGGAGCTAAGGCACTGAAAGCAAAGGGGGTTAGATTGCATGAAATATTCAAGTGTCAGAAAGAAGGCCAGCATTGCTTGAGCAGGAGAGAATTGCAGGAGATGGCTTTGAAGAGTAACTCAAAGACAGGACCAACATGACCAGCAAAGATTCTTGCCCACGAAGTTAAAGAATTAATAAAGAAAGTCTAAATAAGTATATTTGTGGGGAAAAAATGACAATACCAAAGGCTCTACATCTGTCTTATCGGAAAGGGCATAATAAGAACCCCTACATGAACTGGATACTTGCCCACTATGAACAGTGTGTCAATAATCTCATTCATTGTCTCCACAATCCCATGAGTTCCAACTTATTATTCTTTATCTGCCATTGAGGAAAAGAAAACATATTTCAAAATAAGATTTAGCTCATTAAGCCCCTTGTGTAGGATCATATAAAGTTCACATTATTTGATTCTAAAGTTTGTACATTTTCACTTTGAACATAGATACTCTGGAAGTATGAGTTGTAGCTAAAGTAAGGAGAATTCATTTTTACCACCTACTGGAATAACACATTAAAATGAAAGCTAATCCTTCCTGAAGAGCACTCCAGAAGTAATGCGAACTAAAAAGAGTTATTTTTATTAATAAACATTTAATGGCTAGTGTCCTAGGCAACAAAAGTAAAAATAGTTCTTAAGACATAGTGCTGGGATATAATTTTCATGATATTGGTGCTGTGGAAAAGTAACCTTTCACAGTGATTTATGGTGTATAAAACTCTTGGAAGTGATTTCATGATGAAAAGGTAAGGAACAATGTACATAACATGACTTATCTGTACCCTTGACATCAAATGCTTCACAAAGTACGTAGTGATGGACATAGGAAGCTTGATGATAAGTGAGTAGAAAAGTCCAGGAGGATTCTGTGAAGGTTTTGTCAGACTTTATGGAAAGTGTGGTGTTAAACTGGAAAGAGAATGACATTCCACATTTGCAAAGACAATGAAGTAGAACACATGGGACAGGCTGTCAGTAGTGGGAACAGCAGCATCTGGGCTTGCAAAAGCAAATGGCACCAGGGTCCTGACCACTCCCCCAGGTCGGATGGGGAGCTCCTGTGCTGTGGCTGTGAGAACCGCCTGAAGTTTGTGAACCACAGGTGACATGCACAAAGCTGGGTTTTAGGTGAGTTCCTCTGCGAGTGCAAATTAGGAAACTTTGACCAGGAATCACAGCACATGGGGCAGAAGTACCAGAAAAGCTACACTTACGTTTGCTGCTGGCCATTTAACTAGTCTCTTCTTCCTGCCTACAGAATTCAGGAGGATGCGACAGCCATCCTTCCAACTTCTCTTCCCAGTCTGCTGGCCTCCACACCCCTTTCTCTGGAGCCCAGACAGACAGCAGTCAAGGTGCTGGGGGCAACCCTTACCCCAAAAGCCCAGGCGTACAGCCAAAGGTAAGCACTCCCAAGGGGAAGGCTCATATCATCTCTTCTGTCTTCACTAGTCCTTCTTTTGCAGTACAAATGATGAGGTTCAGTACAAGTTCTTATACGTCCTAAGTCTTAATTGACCTTGGAAGGCTAGGGCCAAAATGTTGGCTTTCCTTGTGGCCCTCCTTTTTCTCTAATTTTTGGTCTGCGAACTTAGGTTGTTAACCCTCCAGAAAATGATGAGGTTCAGATGGAGGTAGAATAACATTTTATTTCGGACAGGCATATATGTACTAGGAGTGCCTTGAAATAGATGTATAGATATGAGAGCTAGGAAATATCCTCAGGAAGCATTTCAGGGGTCATAGCAAATAGCATGGTGACTGAAATGGCCATGATGCATTTGCTAAATGACCTGCACAACAAACCAATTTCTGTGAAATTGAAGACTGGAATAGAAATACACAAGAAAATAATGCCATGGGGGGGAAAGAGTCACTGGGATTCACGGAGAGGATGGCGAAGTGCAGGGAGTGTGCATACCATCTGTCTGAAGGAAAAGGGTGAGGAGAAAGTTTTCAGCTGGTGAAAATCAGAGATGTGAAGGTCTATAATATGGGGAGTCGTAGGAACAATGAGAGGTGATAGGAAAGAGACAAAAGCAAGACAGCTATGACATAAAACAGCCACATGTCACAAATCAGAGAAGGAATGGAGAACCTGGCATGGGTCAAGCGGAAAACACACTCACAATAGACAAAGTGGGTTCAGGGCAAGAAAGCCCAGAAATGCCTCCAACTCTGCAGATATAATCAATGTGGAATGAAACAACCTAGGGAACAAATTACTCTGGAAATTCCTGGGCTCATGAAAGTATTTGTTTTGGATTAGACTAATTTTATTTCCTTTTATCATCCTGTTTTCTCCCAAGAGGGAGCATCTCCTAACAGGAAGAAAAAAAAATATGAAAGGTTCGCCTTTTAAAATGGCATAAGCCATAAATCCACAGTGATATAATACTATTGTTAATATGTTTTATTTGTTATTTTTTCATCTCTGATTTATTATCATTACCATCATTATGTTGTGGGTCATTTTTTTCTGAAAATGGCCTGTAATTCCTAAAATAGATGAAGTATCACTTATGCTTCATAAATTGAATGTTTTTCTCTGTGCTTTACTCACATTACAGATAACTGGTTTACATTCTTCTGGTAAAGTGGGGCCAAAATTTTCAATTCCATCTCCAACGTTTTCTAAATCAAATTCAACAGTTTCAGAGGTAACACAGCCTCCATCCTATGAAGATGCAGTGAAACAGGTAACCACAATTCTTTTTCTTTATGGAAAACTCAGCAGACATTGTTTTATATTATTGAACACCATGAACTTTGCAAATTCTACTATTGTTAAGTACCTTTCCAAAAGAATGAGCAAACTATCTCCACAGACATTGCAGGAGGTATTGCTTGTATATATAGATGGTGCCAATTTAGGCTACTTCATATTACAACTTTAGGGGTTAAGGAGATAGCTCAGAGGTCCAAGCACCTGCCTGGCAAGTGCAAGGACTGGGGTTCGATCTCCAGTACCACATGCCGTGCCAGCCACCGAAACCAGGCATGATGGCACATGCCTGTAATCCCAGTGCTGTGGGCAGGGATTGCTGAGACAGGAGGATCAGTACTATCCGAGCTCTGCAGCAAGACCCTGTGCCAAATCAATAAAAGATTTTTTAAAATTGTATTTGATTAACTTTATTGTGGTATAAAACAATACACATTCAGCTAAAATTGTACATGGAACTGTGAATCAGATCTTTTTCTGGGCTGGTGGTGTATAGCTCAATCCTGTCTCAAAGCAGGGCAGTGGCAATAAGTGCAGCTCCCAGCCAACCCTGCTGTCAACAGGGCAATTGACCACTGTTGTGCAGTGTGCTTTGCTACAGAGCTGAATGCTCGATAGCTTTAGGTGTATTAAGTGTATTTTCCTTTCGCGGCATCATCAACTTACAATGTGTTCCTCTGGATGTGATCCCATCATGAGTCCAGGAGCATCTGTAGCAGCTAAGTGATACAGGGAGAAGAGGCTTGGATGGCATTCACCTGGTCATGGTGCCAGTGCTGCCACCTGTCACCTGTCCTTGCCCCTAGGGTTGTGCACATATTCAATTTCTCTTCTATAAAAAAGGAACTATATCTACTCCATATGAACTTCAGGTCATCTGACACTACCATATTCTTTGGGCATGTGATAGGTATTCAAATATATGAAAGCAGTCTACAGCCATACCACCCTGAATGCACCCAATCTCGTCAAATATACAAAAGTAATCATCAGGGTAATACTTTTGAAGATAAATATTGATGCTCACTGAAGCTGAGCAAAGATTGTAAGGAGGTCTACTGTATCCTCTAGTCTCCTTTGTGTTTGGAATGCTTCAACAAAGACATAAGAAAAAAGGAAAATAATTACTGATATATATAGTCAGCCTTCAGGGTCCATGATTTTAACTATCCATGGATGAAAAATATTAGAGAAAAAAATCCCTGAAAATACAAAAAAGCAAAACATGAATCTGCAGGCTGCGAGCACCATGCTTGCTCCACAAGAAGGAAGTGACATTGGACCTACACTGGACTCTTGCATTTGACATGTGCTCCATCTCTTTCCAGCTCCCCTTATTTGAGTTTTGTTAGCCTCATACCTGGTGCATGTACTATGTAGCCTATGGTGTTCCATCCATACTCCACATGCATTTTTGTCATCATTCCTCAAATGATAAAACAGGGATCCCAAGTCCTTTGGCCCTGTATCCATGCAGCAGGAGCGGGAGGCACACTGGTGAAGCTTCATCTATATTCACAGCTATTCCTCACTGCTCACATCACTGCCTGAGCTCTGCCTCCTGTCAGGTCAGTGTTGGCTTTAGAGTCTCATAGAAACTTGAACTCTACTGTGAAGTCAACATGGAGGGATCTAGTTTACTTGCACCTAGGGAGACTCTAACAATAGAAACAAAGTATACAATGTAATATTAATAGAAACAAGGTGGACAACAAATGTAATGTTTGTATAATCCTTAAATCATCCCTTCCCCATGTCCATGGAAAAACTATCATCCATGGAAAAAGAAATACATGTTTATATGCGTAGGTTATCTTGAATAATTGTACTACTGATTTCTGCTGGCCAATACTTAAAATTTTTCTTTCTCCTTTTTAATTTTTATAACGTTTTGGCCAATTTTAAAAGCTTATATCTGCCAAGCTGAACAACTAATTTGAAAACAGTATGTAATATAACAGCCATTGTTGAATTCCTATAAATTTCTTTAGTGAAATTCTGTATCATATCTAACTTCAAATATTTTTGTATTCTCTTTAAAAATACAAAAAAAAATTCTTAAATACAAAAAATTTTAAAGAAAAGATATTTAAAAAGAGAAAAAAATGGGCAGGCCAAATAGCTTAGTAGGTAAAAGTGCCTGCAAGCAGGCACAGGGGCCAGGAGTTCTGTTCCCAGACCTGCTGTGCCGGCAGTTGAGATGGGTGTGGTGGTGCACACCTGTAATCCCAGCTCTTGGGAGGCTGTAAACAGGTGGATCACTATGAGTCTGATCTAGTGGTGAGACCCCGAACATCCTGTAGATCCTTCCCTAAAGTACAAAATAATAAAGAAAAAGAAAGAAAGAAAGAAAGAAAGAAAGAAAGAAAGAAAGAAAGAAAGAAAGAAAGAAAGAAAAAGAAAGAAAAGCTATCTTCCAGAAAACCATTCCCTCATTACAAAATGATTATGGAACAGACCCCTTCAATGAAGTACAACAACTATGTGCATTGCATTTACATTATACCAGGTAGTAGAAGTAATCTAGAGATCATTTTAAAAATACATGCA